TAATTTAAAGGAATAGTCAAAGTTCGATTCGGAAACTTCAAATATCCACAGTGACTAGAATTTTCTGGTCAACGCATTAGTTATCCTTTTTTGGTTTTTAATTTGCAAAACAATTAATACTTAATTCCCCAATTATCTTTCCGTTATCTTCGTTTATAACTTTCCTATATAACCTTTTCGTCATAATTTCAGTCAAATACTTTTAGTATTTCCTTATCATAATACATACTTATTTCTTTTCGAACAAAAAAAAAACCTATTTCTTATTAAAATTATAATATAAAAATCAAAACGTATATTGACTAACACCTTTATCATAATATACGTCCTTGTGATGTGTATATAAATAACATAATATTTTCAGTTTTGAAGAAACAAAGCAAATAACATGTCTAGAGGAATTAGGATGGCTCTTGTTATGAATCTTCTATGTCTTTTGTTGTCAGTAGTCCTAGTTTGTTCGGATCAAAGTACAGTGCCTCTTAGATTTTTCAAGGTTAGCTTTTAAACAAATACTTGAGACACACGTTTCCGTCTATTATTTTGATCTACTTAATTAGTTTAACAACAATCCTTTTTTTTATAATCGGATAGGTCAATTCTCACGTCTTTTTGTCATTAACAGATAAGTGAAAATGTAACATATGATTGCATTGATATTTATATGCAACCAGGACTTGATCATCCCTTGCTCAAAACCCACAAAATCCAGGTGCATGGTCTCATTCATCTCGTATATTTTCACTTGTATTAATGTGATAAATATTAACTATACAATTTAATTGTTTGAAAAAGATGAAACCAACAGTTTCAAGAACTGAATTAAAAAATCATACTGGTGACGACAAAACATCTTTTAAGACGAGAATAGGATGTCCAACTGGAACTGTTCCTATCTTGAGAAATATAAAAGAATTCATTACAACATCAGAACATTTCGCCGATAAAGATCTACATCCCTTATCAGCCGATAGCCCTGGAACACATGTAAGCATTCATCCCAAGTTCTCCTAATAGGTAGATCTAATCATGTTTTTTTCTTCTAATAAGTCTTCGGGTATTAAGTCATTGATTTAATCACGTTTTGGTAGATTGCTGGAGTAAGGTCACGTAATGGTCCATTCCATGGTGTAGAAGCATTTTTTGATGGACATAATCTAAACATCGGAAAAGATCAAGCCTCGTATAATCAAATATATATAGGCAGTGGATTAAATAATGAGGTCAATTTTATCTCAGCGGGTTTGATGGTACGTTTTAATTGATTTTTTGTTCTCCAATTTTTAAGTTTAATCTTTTCAGTAGTCTTAGTATTGATTTTTTTTTTACTGATAAATCCAGGTTTTTTTCCTGACGGACGTGTTTGGTCATATGGATTTTGGAAAGTATGCATGCAAAATTTTTAATTTTTGTTATGTAGATTGTGTATACAACATGGTGAAAGCCTTTAGAAAATAACTTGTAAATATGAAATATGATTTTGATAGGGTAAAGATGGAAAAGGATGTTACAATACAGCATGTTATGGATTCGTTCAAGTATCAGAGACAGCTCCCATAGTCGAACCCATTGATTTTTCGCCAGGAAAACCTAGTTGGTTGCACTACTCTATCCATCAGGTATTTTTCCTAAACGTTTTATATTGATTTATTTCTGTCATTTCGTTCCCATTTATGCGCGAAGCATTTACGAATCTTGAAATTAGTTATTTGTATTAATCAAACAAGTGATAAGTGGATATGACTATAACCCTCTTTGACTAGTCTGCATACTTTTACTCTTTAAAATAATTATCGTATTTTTAATTGCAACTTTTTTTATTAACAAAATGAATTTGTTTTATCTATCAATAAATACAAAAAGGATAAAAACACAGGAAATTGGTGGCTTACACAATTGAGGTCAGACGCACCTAACGAAGATATCGGATATTGGCCAAAAGAGTTGTTTAATCTTTTCCAAAATGGTGCAAATATGGTTGGAGTTGGAGGTGTAGTTCAGGCTTCACATTCTGGTTCAAGTCCTCCAATGGGTAATAGCAATTTTCCTAGCCAAAATTACAAGAAATCATCATTATTTACAAATATTGAAGTCTTGAATTCCAACTATGAACAACATAAAATGAATTCTTTGCCTATAGAGAAATTCTTAGATACACTACAAGAAAACAGGGCGGATTCCGACGGCCAAAACCGTCGGAAATCCGTTGGAATAAGCCCTATTCCGACGGCTTGCCGACGTTTTTGGTCCGTCGGTTCTATCTCGTCCGAAATTAAAAACCGTCGGAAATACTGACGGATTTTCGACGGAAAAGGGATAACTGGAATCCGTCGGAAATCCGTCGGAATCATTGTCGACGGATTTTCGACGGCCAGAACCTCCGACGGATTTCCGACGACCCGTGTCACCGACGGATTTCCGACGACCCGTGCCACCGACGGATTTCCGACGACACGTGTCACCGACGGATTTCCGACGGGCAAAACTTCCGACGGATTTCCGACGGTAGCAAAACCAACGGAATTCCGACGGAATTATTATTATTTTTTTTTAAA